ACCATGCCTGTGTGGGTGGCCCCATGCCCAGGCATAACTGGACAACACAAACTAGGGGTCAGGTCGTTCCAAAGTAAAGACGGGGGCTAGAGAGATGGCTCGATGGTCAGGGGCCCTTGCTGTTCTTCCAGAAGACCTGGGTTTGATTCCCAGCACCACACGCAACTCCCATTCTGGGGGATCAGGATCCTCTTCTGGACTCTGTGGGCACCAGGCATGCAAACGGTGCACAGACACACATGCAAGCAAAACACCCAAACACAAAAACGGAATAAAGACACAAAGAAAGGGGGCTTAGGGAGATGGATTTAGGAGGAGTCAGGAAGGAGTTAGAGTGAATATGACTGAAATATATGAAATTCTCAAGTAGTTTTTCAAAGTTAGGATGAAGACTTGGCATGGTCATACATGATTTAATCCAAGCACAGGGGAGGCAGAGGCTGGCGGATCTACATGGGACAGCCTGTCTTCAAAGCAAGTTCCAGGCCAGCCAGGGCTACATAGGGGGATTCTGTCTCAAAAACAAAGAGTGAGAATGAGAAGGGGGGCAGACACCCCCTGAGGAGGTGACCCGGGGATGCCAGGAGAGCAGGGAACTTTTCTGAGGGCTTCTAGGGTTCCTCCCCAAGCAAAAGTCCCTGAAGAGGCTCCATACCAAAATCCCCAGAACAAAGGAAAGACCTGAGTTTTTTAAATCTTTTAGGAGTGGGTTCTACTTCGTATGAGTTAGCTCAGCATAGCAAATATGACAAAAGGGTATGGAGGAGCCCTGGCTCATAAATCAAGAGCTGGCTAACCACAAAACTGCTTCATAACTCCCTGCCCCAGAGAAAGCTTGGGGAAGTGTGGCCTGGATTCAGGATGTGGGGTTGGCTAAAGCAGCAGGCTCTAGGTTCTGTTCTAACTTCAGAAGTTCAAGGTCATCGTTAGCTACTTAGGGAATTGGGGCTAGCCTGAGCTATATGAGAACCTATCTCAAAAACCAAAAGCACCTAGATTACAAAACAGCAGTCATTTGAGACACAAAATTGAATGTTAGTTGTTGGGATTCAGACTCAGGACAAGCGGCTGAGGTGCCCATTTAGCCAAAGCGGACCTGGCCTCCAGGTTCCCCAGCATCCCTCAGTCCCTACCCATTACAGGGCACGGCTGGCATACCCAGCCCCTCCCTCCCAGCATTTCTTCTCTTTGCTTCCCCACCTTTTCTGTTTCCCCCTTCATGGCAACTTCACTAACCCCCACGCCTGTGAGGTAGGTGACTCTGCTAAGAGCAATAAACCTGCCTTTTTTTTCCTTCCAGAAACCTGCATTTATATACTCTAATTTGGCTTGAATCGGCTCATTTTGTCCACGGAGATAAACCTTCATTAGTATTCAGACAGACACTAAAACTTAAGGATAGAAGAACTTTTATAAGGACTTACACAGCCACCCAATTCGTGATGAGAATTAAGAAGTTCCCAAAAGACAGGCATGGTAGTGTACACCTGTAATTCCAGCGTTTGGGGAGGTGGAGGCAGAGGCAGGCGGATCTCGGAGTTCGACGCCAGCCTGGTCTACAACGTGGGTTCAGGACAGCCAGGGCTACACAGAAAAACCCTGTCTTTAAAACACGCACACACATGAATGCACAGAAAATAAAAAATAAATTATTGAAACAAAAAAGGATTTAATGTTTGGGGCTGGAGAGATGGCTCAACTGTTAAGAGCACGTCTTGCTCTTGGAGAGAGGCCCCGGGTTTGGTTCTCAGCACCAACATGGAGGGGCACACCACTGACCTTCTGACCTCCAGCACCGGGCATACATGTGGTCCACACACCTGCAGGGAGAGGCTCATCCACATCAAACAAGTGAATCAAAAAATTAAATAAAAAACAATTCAGTGTTTGCTGGGGGCAGTGGTGCATGCCAACCCCAGCACGGGAGGCAGAGGCAGGCAGATCTCTGTGAGTTTGAGGCCAGCCTGGTCTACAACGTGAGTTCAAGACAGCCAGGGCTACACAGAGAAACCCTGTCTCAAAAAAAAAAAAAAAAAAAAAAATCAGTGTTTGTTAAGTAAGTGATTTCTTTTGGGCTGACTAACATGTTCTTTGTACTTTTTCATTCAAACTTCTAGTCTGATTTCTTTTTTCCAGCGCCTTCTCTGAGGTGGGACTTAACAGCACTGAGAGGCAAGCACCAAGGGGCTCCTTGGGCTAGTACTAAAAGGTCTTCTATGAGGCAGATGTCCGGGGACCGGCCCCCTCCCAATCCTCCTGCCTCAGCCGTTGTAGTCGCTGGGATTAGTCACACGCCCCCCCCCCCCCCCACACACACACCTGCACCCAACTGAGAAGTTATTACATGGGCAATTGGCTCCTAGCCAACGCTTTGTGTAGCTAAGGGTGGCTGTTGGTGAGGTCTAGAGATTTCCATGTGGGCGGGGCCGGGAGAGGAGGAAGTGGCAGCTTCACCCCCTCAGGTTTCTCAGTTCCTCCCTGGGCGAGGCCTTTGCTCCGCCCCTTGTTTCTCCCCAGTCTTTCAATTTGTGGGGAAATTTCCGCTAATGTACTGATCAATTTGTTCCCATCCTGTAAGGAAGGCAAATACAGAGTTTCCTAGTCAGTTGGGTTTCCATCCTTTTCTTTTTCTTTTCTTTTTTAAGAAGGTTCTCTTAGCTCAGGCTGACTCCAACCTGCCATGAAGCTAAAGATGACCTTGAACTGCTGGCCCTTCCACCTCATGTAACCTTGTGCTGGATTACAGTGCCCCACACTGTCTCTCCCAATATACTTTTATCTATTGAAGCCCTAGAGCTTGAACCCAGGGCCTTCCGAGGCAGCTCTCAGCACTAGGCCATTTGTACATGGCCTGCTTCAGAGTCGAGCTAAGCGCCTCTTCATGCTCTTTCCTGTCCCGCACTAGGACTGACCCAGACCTTCATCCTTTCCTCCCCAGGCTTTAGGAATTCTGGATTCATTTGAATATTTCACCCACTCAATTCTTCAAGTTCCTTAAATTTTTTCTAAATTAGATACTTTAATCTTCCTTTTGCAAAAAGAACATAGGGGTAGATCCAGGTTCAATCCCTAGAATCACAATAAAATCCAAAAAACCAAAAAACTAAAAACCCATGAGTCGCCTTACATCTAAACTCCCAAGTGTTTAGGAGGCAGAAGCCATCTTCGGCTACACAGTGAGTTCAAGACCAGCCTGTCTCAACAACAAAATAAAAAGGCTTTTTACAAAAAGCATTTCTTTGTTTATTTTTTCAAGACAAGGTTTCTCTGTGCAGCTCTGGCTGTCCTCACTTGGTAGACCAGGCTAGCCTCAAAACTAACAGAGATCTGCCTGTCTCTGCCCCCCCCCCCCCCCATTGCTGGGATTACAGGCGTGAGGCACCAAGCTCTGCTCACAAAGTGTTTCTAATTAAATTCATTGACATCAGTGGGCAAGAATATGATAACCAAATGTATAAACATATAAAATATAACCATTCTGTATCATTAATAAACGCTAATAAAAATGTCATGAGGCTAAGAGCCAATGACCCAGATGACCCACCATTGGTCAAGGATTGCCAGGCAGATGTTCTTTTTCCTCCTTTTAAAATATCATACCTATGGATATTTATGTTTTTAAGAAAATAGTTTTTCGTTTTATGTAGGAGTGTTTGCACGTCTGTCTGTGTATGGGTGTGTGGCTGGTGCCTGCGGAGACGCAGGGATGAGCTTGGATCCCCTGGAGCTGCAGTTACAGATGCCATAAGGGTGCTGGGACCTGAACCAGGGTTCTCTACAAGAGTCATCTCTCCAGCCCATTAACTCTTCTTTCTAAAGGTATTTGTGTACAGATGAAGCTTGGGGAATTAGCACCAACAGAATTGTGTGGCTCAGCAGTGGCTAGGAGGCGGGGAGTTCAAGGTCAAATACCTATTTATGGAGGTCCAGGCCAGCCTGGGCTTCAAGACAGCCCTTCTCAAAACAAACAGAACCCTGTCTTCCAAAATCAACGGAACAAACATCAGCTGTATGAGTCTCAGCTTCACAGTCTCACGTGACAATCCCCCAGGAACTGAACCATCCCAACATTAACTTCTCTCACACCCAGCAACTAGCACCTTGTGACTCCCAAGTCTTACATTCCAGCACCATCCCGGTGACACTGTCTGGAGCTGCCCCGTTACTCACTTCCGGCACTTCTGAATCATCTATCTCTTCCTTAAGCCTGTAAAGAATTCTGGGGCTGTTCATCATAACTGGGCTTACTTATCTAACTAGAACAGGTGGAGTCTTCAAACTATCTGTCACGAAGACCTTTGCTCTCCTGCCAATCCACTTGACATTTTTACAAGTCACCATCCAGGATTACACAGTTGTGTCTTCTTCACATCTACACCCAGGCAGCTGAGCAAGGCTGGAGAGAGCCGCTGTTGGCTGGTGCTCATGCAGTCCTGGCTTCCAGTTTGTTCCTTAACCCTTGCTTCATTTGAGATGCTCTCCATATGTGGCTCAGCTACTAGAGCTCTGAGCCCATGCTTAAACATCCCTTCTCTTTCATCTCTCTCCCCCTCTCTTTTTCTCTTTCTCCTCTCTTTCCTCCCTTCCCCTCTCCTATTCTCCCCTCCCCCTCTCCTATGCTCCTCTCCCCTCTCCTTCCCTCCCCTTCGCTACCCCCAACTCTCCAGCTCTATCTTTTTTCTGAGGCAGGGTTTCTCTGTGTAGCCCTGGCTGTCCTGGAACTCACCCTGTAGACCAGGCTGGCCTGGAACTGGCCTCCTGAGTGCTGAGGTTAAAGGTGCCTGCCACCACTGCTCATCTTTTTTGCATCCCTTTCTAGCTGCTCCTTTTACTCTCCCCACTCAACTTTCAGCTCAGTTAACTAGTGACTTTGACAGGTGAGTCCACAGCTGGGGGGTCGAGTCAGCTGTGAGGTTAGCTCAGTGACCTACCCCAACTGTAAACTGAGAAAGTCCAGACAGCATACAGACCACACCCTCTCCTTAGAAAGAAGCTCTTACCCAGCTGGCTTCCCACCCAGACGAAACTGAGCATCCAGGAGAGGCTGGCACACAGGGGCAGCTCAATAAATGTCTGCTGTGGGAGACGGTTCTGTAAGCGAACCACGCGCACCCAGGCTCCCACGCCCATGCTCGCCTTTCCATTTAGAGGCCAGGCGGACCGAGCAATGGCGTCTAGGGATCCTTTCCACCCAATCCTTCAAATGTGCCTACACCCCTCCCCATTTCCCATCCACACTAGGCAGGCGCTCAGCGAGGCTTTCCGCTCGTGATGCCCCTGCTTCAGCCTCCTGGGATTAGGAGCATGCACCACCCACCACGTCCAGCTGCCTAAACCACTCTGTCCTCACCTTCCTGTCCTCCACTTCAACAAGCAGGATGTCACCTCTACCACTCCAGAGAAACTGGTCTCAGGAAGGCCAAATCAAGCAGATACTCAGATACAAATTAAGTAGAGATTCAGTCCTCCTTCCTTTTTTAAAAAACGCCTTATGGTTTTGTTTTCAGAGTTAACGTCATTGTTAAATCAATACACGGCCACTGTGAAAATCTTGAAAATTACACAAAGAAGGCACATCCCGGTTATATCCCTGACAGTAGCTGTCCACTTGTGGGTACGTTTCTGTTCCCTGTAGTTTTTGTTTGTTTGGTTTTGTTTTTCAAGACAGGGTTTCTCTCAAATTCATTGAGATCTGCCTGCCTCTGCCTCCCCAATGCTGGGATCACAGGTGTGCGCCACCACTGCCTGGCTTTGTTCCCCGTAGTTTTAAATTAAAAAACAAAACAAAAAACCAAAACAACAACAAACCAAACCAACAACAACTAGGGCTTGGAGAGATGGCTCAGTGGTTGAGAGCAGCGGCTCCTTTCAGAGAATCCAGGGTTGGTCCCTAGCCCCACCTTCTTGCTCACAATCATCTGTAACCTCACATAGTTAAGAAAGCAGAGGACAGCTTGTTTGGGCTCTCACCTACAGAGCTGTCCCTCCCTGTCTTCTGCCGTGCCGGTTCTGCGGTTCAAACTCAGGCTCTCAGGCGTGGCAGCAAAGCTGCTTTACACACTGATGCACCTTGGGGGCTTTCCTGCACATTCCCCTCATCTGTTTTCCTTCGGGCTGTGAGCCCAGCCATCAAGGACGAAGCCATCTCTTCAACCCTCTTTGTTTGGTTTTGAGGCAGGCCTTTGCTAGCCTGGAACTCACTTACTGCCTGTCAACACACTGACTCCTTTACATTTTAAAATGTGATGTTGAAAATGAACCTAGAGCCTGGTGCCTGCAAAGCACGCCCTCTGCCACCGAGAGCAATCCCCAGCCTCTACACTTTCTGCCGTGTAAGAGAAGCAGGTTCGTTTCCTGCTCCCTACCCTAGACAGCATTTCTCTGTGTAGCCTTGGGTGTCCTGGATTCGATCAGTAGACCAGGCTGGTCTCGAACTCACAAAGATCCACCTGCCTCTGCCTCCCTGAGTGCTAGGATTACAGGTGTTCACCACCATGCCAGCTCTTAACAGGTTCATTTTTTTACCTCATCAGTATTTTATACCTACAGTATTTTATGCTGAAGTACTGAGGAGCTACTGCTGTTGCTCCCATGCCTCTCCTCCTCCTTACCCCCGCCCCTTCCTAAACTCCCTTCTCCTCCTCTTCCTAGTCCCCTCCTTCTCCTTGCCCCTTCCCTCTCTTCACAGAATCTTCTGGGCCTCAGACTGGCCTCAGCTGGATTGTGAAGCAGCAGGTGCTCTTGCGTGCCTGGTTCTCCCTGCCTCCACCTTCCCAGTGCTGGGATTACAGGCACATGCTTCCCCCACAGCCAGCGTGAGTCAGTGCTAGAGACTGAACGCAGGGCTTCAAGCATGGTAGGCAAACAGTCTCCCCACTGAGCCAAATCCCCTCCAAGCCTAGCTCAGACACATATATATATATATATATATATATATATATATGTATGTATATATGTATATATATGTATATATATATATATGTCTCTATGTTTGTGTGTGAGGGTAAGCATGCCATGGTGTGTCTACGTTCACTCCACAATAATAATAAATAAAATTAATTAAAATACACAAAAAAGCATTTTAGGAACTTGAGCCCGGTGTGAAAGTATTTAATAACCTAAATTTCTCTTAACTGGTGACAGCTGCACATTTACCAGGCTTTCGGTGCAGGCTGAAAAGCCTCGGAAGGCGGATGTGGGCCATCACTGCCATTCAAAGCCAGCTTGGGATTCAGAAGATGCAGTCCCCCAGCCAGCCAGCCAAGGAGCTGGGCACATGCTCACTGCTGAAGGACACAGACTTTGCAGAAGACTTGAGTTCCTTTCCAGGGCCCCGATCAGAAGGCTCACCACCTGACTCCAGCCCCAAGGGCATCTGACTCTCCTCCCCTCCTCCCCTGGCACATACATTCACCTGTTTACACTTACCCCCCCATGATTAAAACAAACATAAACCAGTGTATGGGGAACTCAAAATTGATATTGTATGCATGTATAAATGTGTGTTCATATGTCCAGAAAAGGTCTTCTGTACCCCAGGCTGGCCTAGAATTCACTGTATAGATCAGAGTGGCCACAAACTAGCAGCAATGTTCCGGCCTCAGGCTCCTGAGTGCTGGTATTACAGGTTTATGTCCCACACTAGCCTGTATGTTTACCTTAAAGAAACCACCACTATTTTTTGCATATTCTAGAGTTTTGATTAGGATCATATAAAAACAGGAATCCGATTATGCGTGTGCCCTCGAATGCCCAAGCACTTGTGTGCATGCCTACACACGGGGGATCAAAACCAGGGCTGGTGTGTATTAGCCACGTGCTCACTATTTAGCCACACCCCGAACCCCCTTGCTGTGTTGCCTAGGTTAACCTTACTATCACTCTATCTCGCCTTTGAAAGTGCCTGGATTCCACACGAGGCCCACTATGCGTAGGTGCTCAAAAAATACACATTTTTTTTGAGACCAGGTCTTATGTGTCCCGGGCTTGCCTTGAATTTGCTATGTAGCCTTGAACTTCTGATCCTGATTCCACCTCCCAAGTGCTCAGGGTACAGGGTTTTAGATGGTCCTAGAGACTGAATCTAAGGCTTTATGCATGCTAGACCTGCCCTCTACCAAGTAAGCTATATCTTCAACAGTTTCACTATGTAGCCCAGGCTGGCCTTTCCTTTTTTTTTTTTTTTTTTTGTTTTTGGTTTTTTGAGATAGGGTTTCTCTGTGTAACCCTGACTGTCCTGGAACTCACTCTGTAGACCAGGCTGGCCTGGAACTCAGAGATCTGCCTGCCTCTGCCTCTGGAGTGCTGGGATTAAAGGAATGCACCACAATGCCCGGTGAGGCTGGCCACTTGACAACAACTTTTAAGTTTTATTTAAAATATTTATATTATGTGTAGGTGTGTGTCTGCACATGGGTATGCTCACAAGTTTAGGTGCCCTGGGAAGGCCAGCAAAGTCACATCCCTGGCACTAGACTTGCAAGCACTTGTGAGCCCACTACCTGACATGGGTGCCGGGAAGCAAACTCAGGTCCTTGGCAGGGGCAGCCATGGCCCTCACACTGAGCATTTCTCCAACCCCAGCAGCTGTGAGCCTATTGCTTCAACCTCCATGCCCTTTGTTTGGTTGGTCGGCTGGTTTTTTGTTTGTTTTTTGAGAGGTCTCTGTATCGCAGGCTGGCCCAGAACTCACCGCATCTAGTGAAGGCTGGCCCTGCATTTGCAGCACTCCCCAAGGTGCTGGGATCACGGGTGTGTTCCACCTGTGGCTCAAATTCTCTAGATAGGCTCTCAATCCTTCCCGAAGAAAGGTCAAAGGGCCACTTATGATTTGTCTCTTGCTTCCCTCTTCCTATTTCTGGCCCCACCCCTTGCATGAACTGTTTTTATAGTTTCCAGAGGGTAACATGTCTGAGTCATTTTACGTATGTCCTTTCTCCCGGTGACATTTCCCCAGCCTAACGTCTGTACAAGCACCACTCCCACTCACCATCACAGCTCATCTTAGAAAAATGTTTTCAACAGTCAGGTCTAAGCAGCCTAAGCCTGCCTTGAACTTGCACCCGCTGTGTAGCCCAGGGTGCAGCTTCCGAGGTCAGGCTCAGGGCCCATGCTAAGCAAGCACTTTACACAGAGTGGCGTCCCCAGACTTTATGTGAAAGTATTCCTGTAACCTCAGGAAGCAGAGGCAGGAGGGTTAGGAGCTCAGGGCCAGCCTGGGGCACACAGTGAGGCCTTAGCATACACCACAAAAGGAGACTGTCACACTTTCAGGTGCCCCTCTGTCCTGTGGTCCTACCTGACTAGTCTTCCCTAATGTGTGCTGACACTTAACCGAGACAGACCCTCCAAGTGTGACACTTTGCTCTCAATCTCCATGAACTACCTTCTCCTCACCTCGTCTGTCCCTTCTTTAGGTGGCTCAGTGTCATGTCTCCCCTCCCAGTCAGCTCGCCTATTCTGCTTGGCTTGTCACCGTCGGTAGGCCTCACTGCCTCAGCTTTTTAATCACTGGATTTCAAGTTCCTAGCCTGGATGTGAGTCATGCCTGAAAGCTCAGCAGTTGGGATGCTGTGGCCAGCCCAAAGTGCTTAAAGGCCTGTCTTCCCAGCACCTTCTCCTGAGGGATGCCTGCCCTGCTGCACGAGCTCAGAGCTCAGGGCGAGCCGTTGCTCCGGGTTAGCAGGGCAGCTCTGTACTCTTTCGTCTGTTCCTGTGTACTCGGTGAGTGCGCACGTGTAGAGGCCAGAAGCACACACTGGGCGTCTTCCTCTACTGTTCTCTGCTTTCCTGGGCTGACATGGGGTCTCTCACTGAAACAGTGGACTGAATTTCTGCTTAGCTGGCTGGCCAGTGAGCTCTCAGGGACCACAAATTTCAGTCCTCCAGTACTGAAGCACAACTGTGGTTGCTGGGAATTGAACACGAGTCCTCTGGAAGAGCAGACAGTGCTCTTAACCACTGAGCCATCTCTCCAGCCCCAATCTAGATTTTTTTTTTTTCATTTAAAAACAAAGTCCAGCTACGCACATGTGCAGAGTGCTTGCACGAGGACAGCTCAGATCCCCAGTGCCCATGTGAATGCTGGGTGTGGTGAGTGACACAGGACGATACCCGTGGCTGACCTCTGGCCCCCGAAAGCACATTCGAGCCTACATATGCCTTCACACGCCTGCAAGTTACCACCCCTCAAATCAAAACACCAGCACTGGGATTTGAAACTAAGCAGCCACCCTGCCATTAGGTCCATTCCTCAGCCAGGCATGGTAGGGCATGCCTGTTCATTCCAGCATTTGACAGGCAGAGAACCTAGCAAGTTCAAGACCAGCCTGTTCTACACAGCAAACCCCAGGTCAGCTAGGCAGAAAGGGGGCCAGCTCCCACAGCTGTCCTCTGACCTCTGTGCTCCTCCCACCCCACTAAATAAATAAAATGTAATAAACCCTAGCTGGCTGACATAACTGACATTGACCTGTGCCCTCCCCATGCACCAACAGGCGAGTGCACCCGGCCACACATGTGAGCACCTCCCAACCAACCAACGAAACGAAAAATTCCTGTTCCATGTGGCTTGGCACTGACCCCTCTAAAACTGGAACAGATCCCTGTTTGAAATCCCCTCGGTGGCTCCTACACCTGCCGCACATAGCACATCCCCTGGGAGGGGACTCCTCGTTTTACCACCTTGGTCTGGCCTCCAGATGGTGTTCAGTCACTCGACTGTGTCCATGCTGTTGCATCCTCTTCCAAAACATCCTCCTCTCCTGAAGCTGTGGCCTCTCCTTCAGGACTCCCGCCTTCTCTGCTCTCAGACCACACACCTGGAGCTCAGGAACACCCCCTCTCACAGAGCAGGCCCCCTTCCCCTCTGAGGCATGTGTAGACCAGGCTGACTACAAATGTGGGCTCCTCCTGCCTAGGAGGTGCAGGCATTTGCCACGTGTGTGGTTTGTTTCCTGAGACAGTCTTGCTCCCCAGAACTTTCTTTTTTTTCTTTTATTATTAATTTTTTGAGACAGGTTTCTCTGTGTAGCCTGGGCTGTCCTGGACTCTCTTTGTGTCTACAAAGTGAGTCTGGCCTGGAACTCACAGAGATCTGCCTGCCTCTGCCTCTGAGTGCTGGGATCCCAGGTGTGCCCACTGTGCCTGGCCCTTCCCTAGAACTTTCAATCCTCTCGCCTCAGCCTCCCAAGTGCTAGGATTATAAGTGTATACACTGCCAGGTGTTGATGTCACATGCTTTAATCCCAGCACCCTCTACGCAGAGGCAGATGGATCTCTGAGTCCGAGACCAGCCTGGTCTATATATTGAGTTCCAGGATAGCCAGAGCTAAAACAGAAAACCTGTCTTGAAAAACCAAAACCAAAACCAAAACAAAGTACCACCATGCCTGTCTCCCTCATTCCTTTTAATTTTATGTGTATAAGTGTTTTGCCTGTACTTACATATGTGCCTGATCCCTACAGTGTAGGGTCCCTGGAATTGCAGTTACAGACTAGGACACAAAGCAAAACCACCAAGGATTAAAGATGAGTCTAATTATGCACTTAGCATGGTCCTTGACCACACTGCTCAGACCACCTGGTGTGACAGCTATCCTTGTAGATGGCCAGCAGCTACTAGAATGGAACACTCCCATGTCATTTAGTCCCCTGCAGCTTCCTTCCACTGAGAGCATGCCCATGCTCGGCGCCTGGCATGTTCTGAGCTGGCCTCCCTTCATTCAAGGCTCAGGCTCATATGCCAGCATATGAACTCAGTCCTTCTTGAGACTGCACTGTCTAGTCCTCCTGCCTGGCCTTACATGTAGGGCTCCAGTGAAACTTACGTTCTCTCCCCAATTTTTATTTCCCATTGTTAGAAGTGGGAAATAAAACTTAGGGAAAAATAAAAGCACGGCAGGTCCCAATCTATGTCCCACGGCACCGACTGTAGAGACCTTTCCTTTACGTTCTGGTTTCCTCCAGGGCACAGAGCCACTTGGGCCGGTGCAGGGTAGAGCCGGCTACCCTGGAACTACCTGCATAGGCCACTCTCTTACCTTGCCTTTGAGAGCCGGGGTTTCTGGCATTTCTGGGGTTTCTTGAATATCTGCTTTTCCGTATCTACGTTCTCAGTGCCCCCACTGCACGCCTGCAGTCCCAGCAGAGGGAGGCAGAGGCAGGCGGGTCTCTGTGAGTTCAAGGCCAGCCTGCTCTACAGAGGGAGTCCAGCCATCCAAGGATACACTGAGAAGCCCTGTCTTAAAACATTTTTTAAAAAGTCTCACTATGTAGCCCAGGCTAGCCTTGAATTCACAACAATCCTCTGGCTTCGGTCTCTTTAGAACGAGGGTTCCAGGTGTGTAGCACCTTCCCTGGTGTCTTGACTGTCTTTTCTATGTGTAGGTCACACTAGTCAAAACTGGTGGACAGGTGACTTGATTCCAGGGCCCCAGTCCACAGAAGCTCAGAGGACAGGCTCATCAGTCTCAGCCGACTGTTACAGCAGCTGGGAACTCTTCAAACCAATTGCGATAAAGAGCCTAGTGTAGTTGTGGCGGCACCTCTATCTGGAACGCAGGAGGGGAACACAGGAGCGGGGGGGGGGGGCACAGGAGTCAAGTTTAGGGCCAGCCCAGGTTACACAAGAATGTACTAGAAAAAAACCCAAGGAAGTGTGGTTTCACATCTCTCAGAAGGGCAGCAGGGGACACCGGAAATGGGCGCTTCTCTACCAGAAGGTCTGAGCGCTGTCGGTTTCCTGGTGGAATAGGAAGGAGAGGGGTCACAGGCTCTCCTGTCCAGCAGGGAGTTCGGGAAAAGATCCTCTAGCTGGGCCGGTGGCAGCTGGGAGCTCGGGGCTCTGCCACAGAGTTGGCTGCTTCGGCAACAGGTCGGCACTGCTTGTCGAGAAGCAGCTAGCAAGCTCGTTGGAGTGGTTTTGTAGTGACTGCCTGGTGGGGAGCCCTCTCCCCAGTGCTACAGCTCAGAATGAACAGTCGCAGACATCCTTCGGTGAAGCAGATGGTGCTCACCATTTTATTTCCCGCGAAACAGTGTCTTACAAACCTTGGGCAGCGGGAAGGGGCTTTGAGGGTGACTGTGTCTCCCTGGCCGGACCTCAGAGGCTGGGAATGCTCTATTCTGAAGGGGAAAGATAACAGGTGACAAGCTCATGTGACCAACTCTGGAGCCACCTGAGGGTTGTCATGTGCTCCTGCGTTAGGCACAGAAACAGGGAGAGAGCTTTATCCCACACCTTCTGTTCTCAGGATGAAATTATACAGAATTTGAGATTCCCAGGTTTGACGATGCTCTGTTTTGCTAGTCCCATGGCAAATCCCCTAGGGGTATGGTCCAGGAGCTCTGCAGGGAAGGTTGGTTATTGACTGTGTTTATCTTGGTTGCTTGGGTCTTCCAATGTTTCAAGTCAAATTATTTGTGACAGAGCCTCACGTTGTAGCCCTGGTTGTTCTGCAACTATGTGAACCAGGTTGACCTTGAAGCCAGAGATGTACCTGCCTCTGCCTTCCAGTTCTAGGCCCTTGTTTATTTATAGATAAGGTCTCACTATGTAGCCCTTGGCTGGTCTGACTCCAACTCAGCCTCTGCTTTCCAAGTGCTGAGATTAAAGGCCTGTGCCACCATGCCACATTCCACCCCTATGTAATTTTATTACATGTGTGTGCCTGCCCCCCTGAGGGGTCAGCTCGGCACTTCCACCGTTATATGGGTTCTGGGGTTGATAAGGTTCTCAGGCCTGGGCAGCAAGCACATTGCCTGCTGAGCCATTTCCCCAGCCCCCAACACTCCTATGTAGCTACGCAAAAAACAAAACAAGCAAATAAACAAACAAAGCAACACAACAAAGAAACAACAAGGATTTTTAAGGTTTCAGCTTCAAACTAAGGTACCGGGACTTCAGAGGAGCGGAATCCCAGGGTTGTTTCTGAAAGCGCTCCCACAGCCTGTGGTTTTCCATACTCCAACTTCCCCAGGTACAGAAGCGAAGCTCTGACACTGCGGCCCACTCCCAGCACCTGCCTTTGGAGGACATGCATCCACGTGTTTGGGAAAGGCCTAGGCCTGCGAAGTCTCAGGACTCCATGCAGTAACACCACAGGAACACATGGCCTTGATCTTTCCTGTCAAAGTGCTCAACTTTTTCACATTTTTCTCTTTCAGCTACACAGGAAAAAAAAAATTTAGGGTGTGTTTGTGTTGTTGGGTGTACATGTCACCCTGCACACGACAGTGCCCTCTACTGGGTACTGAGAGTAAGTTTTCTCCCACTGCCGTGGGTTCCAGGTATTACCCCCCCACCCCGTTCTTGTTTTGTTTTACAGGCAAGGGCCCTTAAGCAATCATTTTTTGTTTGGTTGGTTTTATTTTCAGATAAAACTACTACATTGGAACAGGCTGGCCTTGCATCTACTTCTGGAGTCCTGGGTTCTATGTTTATGCAGCAGGTGATGACCTTGCTTCCCAGGGGCTGGGATTCCAGGCATGTGCCTAGGTCAGCACACTTTTTAATGCTCTCTTATCCCTGTTGAGCAGGGCAAACTTTTGGGATGTATCACACTCCCTTGGCTAAATGAGGAGAGAACGGCAGAAACATCTCAAGCATTTACCAACTCACCTGGAAGGCTTCTAAGAAAACAATGTCATGGATACTGAGAGCAACCCCCAATCCCCAGCCCCAGAGCACTGGTGATTTAGGTCAGCTCTCGCTCCTGCACTTCCCTTTATATGGCTTTCAGTGGTAGGATTTCAGGAAGGCAGGTGGGGTCTCATGTGGGGGTCACGCTGCTTGCTGCTGGCCAGGAACAGAGAGGCCAGCTTCTTTTGCTCATTGAACTCCCACTTCTCCCACAGACACATGGAACTTAGGGATAGAAACTGAAGGGGAAATGGAAGAAAGAGGCCCTGCTTTTTGTTGAGCCTGGACTAAGCTTTGGGGCATCAGTACAGCATTTAATCAAGTCCCCCGGAGCTCTCATTTTATAAGAATGATCTTCTACATTAGCTACAAAGGGCAGAGGCTAAGTGATCTATGTGCCTACATTCCTGTCCTCTCTCCCAATGCCATGAGCCAGATCAAAGACCCATGTTCCTTACAAACCAGGCCCACACCAACTTTCCCCTCAATCACATCTTCAGTATTTTCTTCACCCTCCCAAACCCGAATAAAACACACCAACTGCTTCAGAGCATTTCTGGTTTTGGTTTTTTTCCATGGGTATTTTTTGTTGTTGTTGTTGTTTTATTTCAAATACTGAAAAAATTCCCCAGGGCTCTGTGGGGCGCCCCACTCATTGCCCTTCTCCCCGTAGCAACCTGTTTCAAGGACAGCATTTTTTTTTTTTTTTAAAGGAACAATTCACACTGAACCCTCAGCTCTCTCTGCAGAACCAGGAAGATCACAACTGCTGTAACGAGCAAAATTCCTTTTCTGACACCAGGTCACTGGCCACATTCATATACTGCATGTCTCTTTGGAGCTGAACTAGCCCTTACCATCAGTCTACTGACAATAGCTGAACTAGCCTTACCATCAGTCTACTGACAATAGCTGAACTAGCCCTGTCATCAGTCTACTGACAATAGCTGAACTAGCCCTTACCATCAGTCTACTGACAATAGCTGAACTAGCCTTACCATCAGTCTACTGACAATAGCTGAACTAGCCCTGTCATCAGTCTACTGACAATAGCTGAACTAGCCCTGCCATCAGTCTACTGACAATAGCTGAACTAGCCTTACCATCAATCTACTGACAATAGCTGAACTAGCCCTACCATCAGTCTACTGACAATCCCTTCACTTTACAGCCACCTCATATCACCCCGTGGTTAAGGAGAAGGACAGGAAGTCTTTTTAACACTTACAATCCCTAGCTCACTTCCCCACACTCACTCCATCCTCTCAACCCCACCCTTGGGATTTCAATGAGTTTTCTCCCAACAGTTACTTGAAATAAAAAAAAAAAAAAAAAAAAAAAAAAAAAAAAAGGCAAAACAACAACAACAACAAGTTCAAGGTCTTGGTGCTCAACCCCAGGGGCTCTGTGTGCTGGGACGCCCACCAGTGGGCAGGGATCTCTGCCTTTCTAGCCTGCACCGGGCCACCTCCTGACCCCTGGCTGCAAAAGCAGGGAGGGGCAGGAGCCAGCACAGGACCCAAGTGGGGAGCGTCTCACGATCTGGTGGAGCCCCAGGCAGCATCATTCAACTTGGCCACTGTGGATGAACACAAAAAGAAACAAAACAAACAAACAAACAAACAAAAACACTGTCAAGTAAAAGGGGAAAACCTCCTGAATTCCATCCCAGTCTCGACCCCATGGTTTCTCCAAATATTTCATTAGGCTACCTGACATATGCCCGAATATTAATTATAAGGAAGTTGAAAAAAAGAAAAAAAATTCAGTCTTTTCTTATTCACAAACAGGATGTTTTCTGCCTTTTTGATGCCCTCATGGAAAACAGAAGGACAGTTCTTGAGAGACCAAGGAGCTGGAGGTCTCCGAGTTGAGGCGGCCAGATGCCTGTCTCAGCAGCCGAGCAGGGCGGGGCCACAGGCAGCGTGGACAGAGAAAGCACACCAGTAGGGTGGTGACCAGCTGAGGCCAGGGTCAGACCACAGTTGTTTGGGGGGATTACATAGCCTGGATTAATCAAATGCATTTGGATTCTGAAATGACTCTTCCTTGCTAAGAAATAAGCCTTGAGAAGTGCAGATTTTTCCTTAGCATCAAAGAGCGAGACTAACAGCTTGATTTTTATTTCCTTTCCCCTTCCCCATCCCTGTTCCAAATGCACGCTCATGTATACATTTTTGGAGATTGAAACTTGGGTCTCCTGCACACGAGGAAACCATTCTAAATGTGAACTATATTCCTTAACACGCTCTTTGCTTTTTATTTTGAGAGAGGGTCTCACTAAACTCCCAAGCCCAGGCTAGCCTCCAAGTAGCAAATCATCCTGCCTCAGCTTTCTGAAAGCTGGGATTACAAGCCAGCTTGATTTCCATATTTCTCCTATCCCTTCCTAAAAACCAGACTCACTGTGAACATCAGCCTTGAAGACACAAAACTGACCAATAGAGAGGGCAGCTCAGACAGGAGAGAAAAAGGTACAGAATTTGAGAAGATCGGAGATGAAGAAACGTACAAAATTATATATATATTTATATATATAATAACATGACATATCTATGTACAACATGGCTGGGACACTGAGGAAACTATACAATGATGTTCAGCATTGTCCCCTTCCCACATGGACTTTGATTAAGGATGACAGCATGAGAAAATGGAGCAAAAACACAAAAATTATATACAATTACAAATGAGAGTCAAGGAGTTTGGGGGCCAGGGAGACCAGGGACCCTGCCTCTCTCCGCTCCTTCCTCACCAGCCTATTCCTACTCAATCTCAACGACGGCCAGAGACCTGAGCAGCCCGTCAGGACAGGAGCATATTCACAGGCCTTTCCCTGACATACACATCAACAAATGGCAGACATGCTAAGGGCACTCTGGGTTCTGTAAGGGCAGAGAGCCTGCAGTATCTTGCTCTTTTGAACAGCTCTCACTCTGGCACTCTCTGCCATTGACAAGCAGGTGGCATTCAGGAAGATTCAGGCCAAACTAGTGATGACACAGCAAGACAGGCTGCTGTCTCCCTCCCTACACCCTCTTTCCAGCCTCCACCAGTGAGTCATCTGCTAAGGACCAGCTGCTCCAGCTGGCAGTAGCAGTAAGCTCTGGGGACTAGCTCCCTTCATCCCCTCTCTTCCTCCATGCCTAAAGTACACCCAGCATCTGATTACATCTGAAGCATGAATGCCACATCAGTGAGCCTGTTTCCTCAGGCCCATCCAATCCGCTGCCTGAGCAGGTTTGTAGCAGCTAGGGTCAGTTGTAGACCCAGGAAAGTGGGCAGGGTCAAGACACTTTCAGGGCCAGCCTTTTCAATTTTGCTTTCTCTCTCTCCCTCCCAAAAGGCTGTGACACTTGTGAGATTCTGTTGTCTGGAGTTACAGCCCTTACATCTCAAACTCTCTCTCTTCCCATGTAGCACCCCTCCTGGCTTTACAGAGCTGAGGCTCAGTCACAGGCCTGCCTCAAGTTTGGTTCCACAATGAGCAGCAGTTGTAGCAGGTGTAGGATTTTAGAGTCAGAATTAGCTTATGTGTTTCCTTCTGTTTACAGATAAGGACCAGAAGCCAGAGGCTATGTGGCCTGGCGGAGCTCACACATCAGAACTGCTGAGCATGACAACTAAAGCACAGGTATTTCAACTCCTAAACACTTTCCACTATCCCATAATACTTTCAAAAGCAACATGCTGGGAGAGAAAAGGTACGATCCAGTTTTTCGTAACGTCTGTCAAACTTCACATTCCTTGAGAAGCAGGGCAACTGCTGGAGGGACACGGCGAGGTTGGGTGGGCACTGTTGTCTCAGGCAAGCAAATCCCCTCTCCTTTCCAAAGGTTCCCTCAACACCCACGATGGGAACACAGAGCACAGAGGCCTAAGGGACAACACACTTAGAAGCACAGAGAACATGTCCTTCACTCTACCTTCCCCAATTGTCACTTCAGCCTTGGGACACTGAGCCTGCACACTGCTGGGAGACTCAGCCTGTCCAAGGACTTTCCTCCACCTTCCACATCTCACCACAGTAAAAGCTGGAGTGCTATGCACTCCTAGGCTTTCCTACTATGGGTCTCTACTGGGCTACAGTGAGGGTTACAAGTTTCAATTTACCCAAAGAAATGAACTCAGAGGCCCTCTTCAACCTAAGCCCCCAGCAGGATGTCCTCCCTGGCCGGCAAGCTGAGCCCCGACAAGCTGAGCCCTGACTAGGTGCCTGTTCCCTGCCTACAATATATAAAAGTCCAGTGGGTGAGGAAGGGGAGGAGGAGAGGGGCCCAGGTTACCCCGCAAGCTTGCTGGTGACGAGTGAGGACTTTCTCTGGGGCAGGTCCTGTGGAGTGGGGATGTGGTCACCGGTCACCAGGTTCTTGTCTGGTCCTGCACTCGGCAGCTGCTTGTTCTTCATCTTGGCTTTGGCCATGTTGTAGTCTCCTGAGTCAAAGTACTTTTGCTAGGAGACAGGAGGGAGGTGCAGATGAGTGTGCAACTCTGGTGTTCTTCAAAAACAGAGACTCCTGTCTACCGTCAGCATAAGCTCTCAGTGTTTCCCATGCACACAGCCAGCCCGTATCACTCACTTGCACTTAGACCTTCTGGCATGCTCTGCCTATGTCAGAGCATCAGCAGTTTCCTATCAGAAACATGGACCTTTGCAGTTTAACAGATAGTTGTGTCCTTAAACCTGGCTGACAACCCTTGAACCTTTTGTATTTTACTCAGTAAAGGAAGGATCAATTAGAATCACTTACTTCATTCATACCAGCTTAATGAGAACCTTACCAGATGGCAAAGCAATGCCTTGGTGCTGGGGAAACAAATGAACAAGACTCAAAGGGTCAATCTGTGGCAACCAGAGACCAACCTGAAACCAACTCTCTCAGAGTTAGAGATTATTCTTGCAGACCAGGAATAGGAATTGGGCTTGTTCATGAGGCAGTGTGCTTTCCAGACTCCCACCACTCCCACACATGTTCCATGGGGAGACAGTCTGCCTACGCCTGGCTCGCCTCAGGCGAGATAAGCTGCAAAGCAGCACCACACCGTCATCTGTGACTGAGACTGAGCACATGGGATTCTCTACAAGTGCCTACACCCCTCTCCATCCCATCCTCGCCCTCCAGCCAAGCCTTATTGCAGTCTGCTGTCAGCTCATGGTAGGGAGAGATCTGACCTAGAGGGAGAAGGCTGGGAAGGCAGACCTCCACTGCTGAGGAAGGTCGTTCTGGTTTGTTTCTACTTTTGTGGTCTTACAGATTGAACCCACGCTGGACAAGTACCTTCCCATGAGGCTACATCCTCTATCAGGAAAAAGAATGGTCTGTGCCTATGTCCGTGTGTGTCCATGTGTATGTGTTTGAGTCTTACTGTAAAGTCTTAGGTGGCCTGGAACTCACTACAAAGACCAGGCTGGCCTCAATCACACAGAGATCTACCTGCTTCTAACTCCGCAGTGCTGGAATTAAAGGCCTGTACTTTTTATTTTTCAGAATTTTTAAGCAAAAATTTATGTATTTTTCCTGGAGCTGAGGTCACAGCTGCCTGACCTGGGTGCTAGGAACTAAACTGGCTTTCTGGAAAAGCAGCAGTTCACTCTCTTAACTGCTGATCCATCTCTCTAGCCCTCTTTTTCTGTGCTCCTCCACTCCCTTTTTTCTTGTTAAAGGCGGGGTCTCATTTTAGCTTAGGCTGTCCTAAACTTACTTTTAAGAAGTACATGGCCCTTAGCCCCACCCCCACTCAACTAGGCAAATGCACGGGCACAAGCTTCCTCCAGCCCCAATCTACCACCTACAGCAAATACCCAATAGTAAGCCTCCATTTCTTACAGCCAGAAGGGAAGTGATATCATTGCAGGGATTCACAATAATCTGTTCACCTGTTTTCAAGTTTCTAGTTTATCTCTACGACCGCCCAATAACCAAACCTAAAGAAAAACATGCAGCAGAACCTCTACGGACTTCATCTGAGGAGGCACAGTAAAAGGGCATCCCATACCCCTTTCTGGAGTCTCTTCATGAGGAAGTCGGAGCCTCCAGGCTTTTGTCCTAGGCTTGGATATTTGGCCTTTAGCTTTGCCTCCTCAGCTCTCTCGGGAAGAATACCTTCTTTCTCCTGTGTGTCCTGAAGAAAACAAGGCAACTAAAATTAAGGACTGAAAAGCAATGACTTCTACTATCTGATAACCTTTATATTAACCAACTTTTTTCCTGGAGATCTACCTGCCTGTAAACATGCCATCTCCACTCTGCTCTTTTTAGAGAGAGTGTGTGTGTATTTTAAAAAATTTATTCATTTTATGTGCTGTTTTCTGCATGCATGTATGTATGTGTACCACATGGATGACTGGTGCCCTCGGGTTCAGAAGAGGTTATCAGATCTCCGAGAGCTGGAGTTATAGATGGTTGTGAGACACCATGTGGGTGCTGGGAACCAAACCCAGCTTCTCCGCCAGAGCAACAAGTGCTCTTACTCACTGAGCTGTCTTTCTAGACTTTTGTTCAAATCCCCAAGGCTCACAATAACTGTACCAAGCGAAGAAAAACAAAGTCGTTTCCACTATACCCAAGGAACCACCCCAGTGATCTTTGAGTACTAGGTTAAAGGTAGTCTCTAAACATGATACTTGAATCAAGAGCAAGCCGTAGCTCACTCAGCACTGAGAGCAGGAGAGACATAAAAGGAACTGGCCAGAGCTTTTAGCAACAGCAGGTAAGTGGCAGAGTTCCTGGCTGTCCTCTGGTCAAGGGAGCCGAGTCTTCTGAGCGCACACTAAGAAGCCACCTGTTCTCATTGTGGAGGATGCTAGACATGTGGCCTATTCCGAAGAGACCCACCTGAGTAACATAGTTCCGTGAACGTAGGCAGGCGAGGGGTAAGCAGAGATTAACACGACACTAGTTTTTGTTGTTGTTGTTTTGCCTTTTAGGGACTGAGTTTCTTTGTGTAGACCAGGCTGGCCTCTATCTGACTTAGGAGATGCACTTGCCTCTACCTCCACATGCTGGGATTAAAGCCGTGCGCCACCACTGCCCGGCTGCTGGGTTTTTCTCTTGACAACATCAACTGTATTTAATGAGTCCTTGAGTTCATTGTTAAGGAACTCCAATTCGGAGCTCAAGAAGGGGTTTAGTCGGCACTGGTATTTTCATCATGCGACGGTGGGTGGACGACAGCCCACTGCGGAGGAATTCGCGGGGATCTGCAAGTCACTGACGGCGAACAATTCATCCCTATCAAAATAGGTCTGAGGAAGTTGCCACCTGAACCCAGCCCTGGCAATCCTTACTCTTCTCCCCTCCCCCAGTGCGGGTTCGCTTTAAACGTCTTCACCTTGACCCGAATCTTTGTGAGGATGAAAGACGAGCTCCGGGCTGGCGGCTGGGCCACTGACTTGTCCCCATCACACAGCCCACTGACATCTCAGGACCACCAGCCAACCCCCCTTCATTCGCCTCATCCTTCCAAACACCCGCCCACGCCAGGCCTCGGCCAATTACAGGACAGCTGACGCGGGCCGGCTGGAGGCCCGCCGACCAATGAGAAGGCGGATGGCGCAGAGTGACAGCCGGCCTGACTAATGGAAACCACGGCACCGAGCCGCGCCGAGCCACCGCCTGCGCGCCGGCAGCAGTGGCTAACCCCCGCGGAGCCCGAGGCAGGGGCGGCCAATCAGCGCTGGCGGGGGCGGGCCTCGCCCGCGCGCCGGCCCCCGACCCCTTCCTCTCACCTGCTTCTCCTCGCCCGTCTCCTCCGCAGGGTTCTCTTCTTCTTGTTTCTGGGACATGGCAGGATCGGGACTGTGCAGTGCAGGGCCCGGGAAGTCGGCCGGAAGAGGGAAGGGGGAGGGGAAGCCGGGACAACCTGAGCGGCTGCTTCGGCTCCTGTCACTATGGTTGCTCAGCCAAAATGGCGGCCCGAGCCCGTGACGTTGAGACCACCCCCTCCTGTGGGAGCCAATGGGAGTGGGCTCGCCGGGGCAATGACGTAACGGCACACCAATAAGCGCTGACTGGAGGTGTGTGCCGGGCCAGGGGCGACAGGCAAGCTGGAACGCCAACCGGGAGAGCGAGCGAGCCCGCAGAGCCAATCAGGAGCCTTCGGGGACCCTGAGGGCTGGGCGGCTCCGATGTTTTCGCTGCTTCGCGGGGCCGAAGCCTCGTCCAGTGTCTCAGCCAGGTTCTGGCCGACTGCGGGTCGGTTATCCCCTGGCGGTGCGGAGCCAGCTTTGAGCGGCGTCAGGAGCTACCGACATCCGGAGACGACAACTGGAGGACAGGCTGGTTTTCAGCAGTTTCCCGGGACTGAGGGCCAGCTTGGACGAGGCTGAGTCTTCCTGGATGGTTTTCGTTCTATACTGTAGTCCTTACGAGTCTTTCGGTGGAGACGAATTTCTTGAAGTTAGGAGTGCAGTTCTAGGTACTTGGTAAGAACTCAGCACATGTATTTCGTACGTTAGTGTAAACAGAGGCAGTTCAACAATAGCTCTCAACAGTTGTGGTGGTTCCTGCACAAAGGACGCTGAAGCAGGAGGATCTCTTGAGTTTGAGGCCAATCTAGGCTACATAGTGTGACCCTGTCTCAAAAACCGAAAGCAACCCAAGAAATAGAATAGTTCTTGACCGTCTGTTAAGTAGACAGCATTGTAGGAATACGCTCCTAAGGGAGCCTCTACCCTTCAAAGCTGTTTTAATTCTCAGATGAAGTTTTCTTAAGGGTGTAGTCAAAAAGTATTACATATTTATATTTTGAATAATTGGTCCAGTAGTGGACGTTAGACCACACCTGTCATTCTTGCACTTGAGAGGCATAGGCAGGAAGATCAGGATTTCAAGGCGGTTTTGGACTACATGGTGAGTTCAAAGCCAGACCCTGTCACAAAGCAGAAACCCACACAAAGGAGTAGTATCTACAAGTACTGTCTTGACAGTAATAACTCACTGCTCTCTGTGGTGTGCTAAAGAAAAAGACCAACAAAGTCTGTAGCACTGCCAACTTGACTTTTTCTGAGACTGGGTCTCGCTGTGTAGCCCTGGCTGTCCTGTGACTATGTAGACAGGCTGGCTTTGAACCCCTGGAGATCTACCTACCTCTGCTTCCCGAGTGCTGGGATGAAAGGCCTGCCACACGAATTCTTGACACAGACAAGCTTGGGCACTGCCTTTTCAGAAGGGACACTCTGAGAAACACTGGAACACACGATTCTTACCATGCAAAGCAAATTCTGGTAAGCACAGATATAAAAATGTTTACAACACTCCGTAGGAATTTTTTTAAGACCCCCACACAGTGCAGGCTCAAAAAAAAAAAAAAAAAGTGATCCTGACAAAGGTCATTTAGAAGTACCTTGATCCTGCAGGACAAACCAGTGAAATGTTGGCTTTCTTGGGCGAGTGAGAAGCAGAGCCGACCTTCAGGAAGGTTACTTGGGTGGTGATGAATAGACAAATGTTCGGAAAGTTACATAGAAAGGCACATGAGGTTGGCAGTCCAGCCCAAGTCTGCTGCACACATTGGGTGAGAGATAATTAGCACTAACCTGGAGGTGGACTCGCTAAGAGCAAAACAGAGCTGTGCATAGCTTAGTGTGAGTGTGGTGGGCCACTTGCCTGGCGTGCACAAAGCCCTGAGTTCAATCTCCAGGACTTGGGGCGGAAGGGAGTGGGGATGGAAGAAAGAGAAGTTAAGAAAGACAAGAAAATACAAACTAAACCTACTTAACAGGAGGCGAGAAGCTGGACCTGTGGGGTAGGCCTATGATGTCGGCAACTCAGGAGGTGGAAACTGCTATAGAGCCAAGGCCAGCTGGGAGACTTAGAGCCTGTCTTTAAAAAGATTTGAAAAAGAAAATAGTAACAAGGGGGAGGGAGGCCCGGAAGCACCTCAGCAGTTGCGTGTACTGGTGGCTGCTTCTGTAGAGGACACAGGTCTGGTTCTCAGTGCCCACAAGACTCACAGCTGTCCGGAACTCCAGTTCCTGGGAATTTGAAGCCGTCTTCTGGTTTCCACTGACATTACATGCATGTGATACACATTAGACAAAACATCTATACACACAAAATGGAATCTTTTAGAAAAGGTTAAAATAATAACTGGGTCTGGGATTCCATGGCTCTGTGTGTCTGTATGATTTATTAGATTAGCAGTGAATTGAATGCAAGGGATAAGAAAGCTGTGTTCCTCCAACTGAGTATCTGTAGAGGCAGTAAGTTAAAAACAAGGACTAAGGGACCAGAGAGATGGCTCAGCAGGTAAAGATACTTGGTGCCAAACCTGATGGTCAGAGTTCAGTCTCTGGGACTCAAGAAATATTAGGAGAGAATCAGTTCCCACGTGTGTCACTTTACATGGCAAAAGACGTTTCTTCTTGTTCCTTGTGCTGCAGAGATTCTGAGGGACGGAAGAATAATAAGCCAATCATAAGCAGAGTTAAATGTTTGTGAGCTAATGATAGCATTCGCTATCAAGGGCATTATTAGGTTTGTCTCTTAGATAAACTCAAGTGTCATTTGCAAGGTATTCACAGCAGTCACTCATTCTCACCAATGGTAGTATCATATTACCCGGAATTTATTTTGACTGAGATGGAGACCTTACTAGGACGCTAGCTGGAGCCCACATCAGCACTGCTGTGCCCTGTCAATATATATCACAATCAATAAAGTTATAAACCATATACAGACACAGGTACAATTACTGATCTTTATTATACAGAAATGTAAAGGCGGTGTATACACTAAATGAGTGTTTGGCAGTGAACGTTAACACAGATTTAAAGTGAAGACATCCTCATTTTATGGACATATAAAAATAAACACTGAGTTTCAAGAAAGAACTCGATTTGTACCCCCCAATCAAGCTGAAGCTTTCCGCAGGAAAACCTGGTTTCAATTCATGCTGGATTGTTCCAATGGGAAGTAAGCTACACCACTAGATAACACACGGGCTGGCTTTTGCACTTCTGGAGAGCCAGACTAAGGCTCTAGCCTAGCGTCTCAAATTATATCTATGTCTCTAATCATCTATGAGACACATGAAATGAAAACAGTAACAACGAGCCGGAGAAATTTCATGGACCTAGGTAGGTTAAGAGGTATTTACCTCTGATCCTGATCCGGAGGGTTTGGTCTAAGTCACCTATATTGGATGTGTGTAACAGCCTGTCTCTCCTCAGCGGTCAACAGGCTGATTAAAATCAGCACAACCCTGTACTGGTCTCACAGCCCCTGAACCTAGGCTTTGTATCAGCTACCCTTGACACTCAACTGCCCCTCTAAAGAGGACCTCTTCTAACAAAGCCTCCCTTCTCCCTCACTGCTGAAGTAAAAACATTTTAAGGGGTTTGGCCAGAATGATGGCTGTGTTGAAAGAAGACAATTTGAAGGTTATCTGGAGATAAACTATAGACAGAATTACTACCAAAGCCCTTAAATAAAGGGAGAAATTATCAATTTATGTAGGAAATAAAGACAGGGACTGTGAAGACACAGAGTTTGGCTGCATTGTCTGGACTCAATGCTGTATTTGGGATTTGAAAGTTACAATTCCCTTAATTTTAGCAGAGTTAAATTGGTAATTTTAAGAGATATTTTAAAGTAGCCTGGAGCAAACAGGACCGTCACATGCTAAAAGATAAAAAGCCTTTAAATTTGAGAGATGGGTCTCATATAGCCATAGCTAGCCCAAACTCACTAGTCTAGCTGAACTTAACCATCTATTTAGATGCTTCTGCTGCTGCCTTCCAAGTGCTAAGATGACAGGCGTGTGTCCCCACACCTGGCTTCAAAGATGCAATCTCCTGCTGCCTCCCTTCCCTACAGGCTCTACTACTGGCTGAATGAAGGAGGTGACTGAGGCACACTGCTTTTCAATTCAGACTCTACATGAATGTGGAAGCAGGATGGTGCTAAGAGGAGCGTGGAATATATCACTGCTTTTAAAACTAAGAGATCCGGGTCATCAGACATGGAGTGTTTTCATTAAAGGTGAGAAAATCACATGTGGGAGGTACAATCTCAGGAACCATTTGCTTCAAAAATTAGTCTTGTTTCCACCGTCCCTCATTCAAAGAGACAGTGATGTCAGTAACTGTCACTGTTTAGGTGAGTTGGAGAGCTAAAGGCTGAAAAAAACATGAATATGAGAGAAAAATTAAATAAACAGTTTGCTCTTCATCTCCTTCATATTTTGTTGCTGAAAAACTCTAATCCTCATGTAGAAACTCCTGTTTATCCAAAAGCACACTGGTTAAAACTAGACCCCAGAGATGGAAGATGTTTATTGGATGTGTGAGTTCTCCTTTCATGCGGACAGAGAGTGGAAGTGAGGAGAAGCAGTTTGCTTAGAATGGTCATGGCCCACGGAGAGGCTCTGAGGCTGTCCTCTCCAGATCATGAGTTCTGATTCAGAAACAGGGAGAACTGATGACAGTACTTCATCACACAAAACTCGGCGATGGGGTCTCTGACAGTCACCAGCGGCAGGGAGAGAAGAAACCCGCCCGCTGGCTTTAGGATTTGTTGAAGGCTGCCAGCACAGCCCAGATCATCTCTGTGGCATTGTGCTTTGTCCCCTCCACTTCGGGGTCCAGTTCTACCAGGTCCTTGGTTCGATTCATGGCCACATCATACTTGTCATCTGTCAGACAGGAGAAGACATTCTCCAGCACGTCAGAAGAGTGGGCCAGCACCAGCAGCGCCAGCGTCCGCCTGTCCATGCGCTGGGGGTCATTGACCCACCGTTCCAGAACACTGTCTTGAAGCTTTTTCACTAGTCGTTGTTTCTCTGTCGTATTGGTCACCGGATGTGTGGTCATGTCGAACAGCAGGAAATTCTGCTTCTCTGTGGTTAGAATACCCTTTTCTACCAGGCTCTTGGCAATTCGCTCTCGCACATTTCTCAGCTGGTACTGTAAT